AATGAAAACATAAGGGAAATATGTCCATAAATGTTTTAAAGCCCCCTCGTAAGCTCACCAAAAGGGATTCATTTGCAAAGCTTACCGCCAACTTTTTCAGTGTTTAAAGTCATTTCCCACCATTCTCACACTTAAACACTATTTCCTGAAAATGAAATAAACAACAAGAATTTACACGGAAAGGTGATTAGAAAGCAACACAGAAACCCAACTTCTTTCCTCCTCCACTTTGAAACTGTGGCCTAGAATTGAAGTGCAATGAGAAAACAAATATAGTGTTTCTATATTTTTTATTTCTTCCAAACAAAATAGAGAAAAAGTTAAATGCAATACAGTGAATGATTTAATAGGGGTCTTCTAGCCGTAACCTCTGTTGCTCCCACAAATAACCTTTGCTTTCCTGATGGGTCTGGGCTAGAAATGGGAGGGAATGGACTGAACTGGATTACATGACCCAGCTGTGAATGAAGTTTACAGGAGTTCATTGTGATTGGCATGAACTCCCAGGAATAAAGTGCGCCCTCTCCGAGCAGGAAGGGGATGAATCTCGCACCGGGGAGACAGAAGAGCCATGAGTGGAGCTCATCTGTGAACCCTGAGATCCAGGAGCCAGCTCTGCTATCAGAGGTGTGGTAGAGGAGCAGCAGCAGCAGACCCGGAAGCCAGAGCATGAGACAGAGCAGTGGCTCCCCAGCCCACGGAGCAAGTAAAACAACCTGGGCAAGAGGCTGGTTTGCTGCCTCACCGAGCTGGAGCTGACCGACTGCAAGACGAGGTTATGGTGGGGTGGCATGCCCTTCGGGCATTTATTCTCAGGGTCATTGAGTAGATTCCAACTCAGTGCAACTCTACAGGATGTGGCAGAACTAACCCCTGTGAGTTTCCGAGGCTGTCTCCCGTGGAGGGACTGGTGGTTTCAAACCACTGACCTTGTGGCTAGTAGCCCAATGAGTAACCACTATACTACCAGGGCTTTTATTACCAGCCTGAAAAGAGGTCTGTGACCAGGCCAAGAGGCTGAGGGCCAGTTGGACGGGCCTGCCCAGTGGGCAGAGCGGAGAAGAACCTGTCCTGACCAAACAACTGTACCTTAAGTATGTCTCACCGGAATTGTAACCTGTTAACGTCTCTAATAAACCCCTTAATCGTGAGCATCATGTGAGTTCTGTCTGACCACTGCCGTGAATTACTGAACCCAGTCACAGAAGTAGAATGCTGTGGGAGGGATGGTTGGTGTCGAAACGGATAAACAAGGAGAGGCGGGGGAGGGGGGATTTGGGGGGTTGGATGGGCGGTGGCAATCAGCCTCGGGAGCCAGGAGAGCTCGGCTGTGGCCCTCAGCATTGTCTAATTCAAGACACACAATTCTCCAGATAGAGAAACAGTGCTTGCAAAAGCAAGAAAGTCAGCTTTCGGCAGGACAGTGTCTCACGCTCCATCAGGACAAGCTCATGCCAGTCTTCTGTTAAACTTCCACAGCAACAGTGCCGAGGGAAGCTGCTCTCTGCTCAACACACTGGAGAACTGCAGCCTCCGAGGTAGGGAGCACGGAGAGAGAGAACAATGGCCTGACGGAGGCTGGTCTGAAGTCTGCATGGGTGAAAACCGGCTCCTGCCATGTGTCTGCAGTGGTTGTGGGAAGTTATATCTGAAGCAGCAGCAAAAAAGGGGCTGACAGTTACTAGCTGGGTAGGAAGACTTCTAGACACCCTAGACTTTTGGCTTGCCAGGGAGAGCTTATTTCAGGGCATCCCCAAAGCATCAAGACTCAATGTTATACAAGGTCATTCCAATTGGCTTCGAGATCAGTGTCAGATGCCATTAAACAAACCCACAGCTACAAACCGCAGACCCTTATCATCACGCCTTGGTTGGACCGGGGCAACTGACTCAAGAATCCGAAGTCTAGACCTGAGAAGGGAGAGACAAGCACTCTGCTGTCTACCTCCTCCCACGGTTTGGCCTACAGATGACCTGAACTACAACTATCTCACTTTTATTTAATTTCCTGTTGGTTCAAGCTTGAAAAATAATTAGCGTGCATAGCTCCTGGTCATGCTTTTTGATGTTGTTGTTTTGGTTTGGCCTTGGTTTTTCTCCTGATGCAGTGTTCTTCTGGCCCTGACGAGAAAGAAGCCCGTGGCTCCTTGGGCAGAGCCTGCTAATTCTACCCAGTGTTCTGCAACTTCCACCAGGCCTGGAGCAGCCTCGCAGGGTCTGCCACTGTTAGTACGTCACCTGTAAAACCAAACTGGCTGCCATCAAGTCACTGGGATGCACAGTGACCCTCAAGGGCAGAGTACAGCTGCCCGTGCGTGTCGGACACGGTAACTGTTTACAGGAGCAGAAAGCCTCGTCTTTCTTCTGTGGAGTGGCTGGGAGTCTGGAACTATCGGCCTTCCATTCAGTAGTCCACTACACCCCTAAGACTCCTTATTCTTTTAAGCCAACTTTTAAAGAATTTGGAGTAATGTTATTTTTTTTCTCTCTCTCACAATGCTAATATGTAGAGAAAACTGTTATGACCACCAGAAATGGAAGGTAAATCCAGGAATAAATGTACTGTAAGTGTTATTATGACAATCCAAAAGGGGACAATGCTCACTTTCTCACCCTGATTCAATATTAAAAACTGTTATTTCCCAGGAATGCTCAAAATCATTTCTAGCAACGTGCTGGTGGTGTGAGCCTTACTTTTGGGGAGAGAAAAACTAAACTAAATGGATAATGATGCAGTAGTGTGATGTAAGTCAAACTACAGCACAGGCTATAAAATTCAAATGACTAACCCTTGGGGCAGGATTCAGGATGCATTAAGAAAGCCTGCCCTGGATTCTTGGACAGCAAGATACGACTGTGGAGTAATGCTCTTCCCACGTCCCCAGAGGTCCTTTCCCTTAGATGGCCGAGCCTCAGGAAGCACGGGGAATAGACGTAAGAGAGCCGAGCAGACACTGACCTGCATGTACTTTAACACACAAGGCTGCTGCTACAGACCTTCATTGTAAGCAATTCTTTTGTGCTTTGTGTTCTTAGATAACATTTCAACAGCATATTCAATTATTAATTTCACAGGCTGCGGTCAGCCTACATGTTCAGAGAAAGCACCAGTTTCTGTTTTCACATATTTTCCCATTTGCCTGATAAGATAGCAACCCAGCCCGTTAGGACGGGAGAAGGGCGTTACTTCCTTGGACTCAGACAGCGTAGGAGGCAAGCAGGGCCTTGTCGGGGAAACCAGGGCCAGCACCGTCAGGGAGGAGCTGCCCAAAGTCCACTAGGTGCTGAGTGGCAGAGTCCGCCGCTGCGTCACTGGGCTTGCCCCCAAGCCTCTCTACTTTCAGTTCAGGAAAAAACCCCTCAAAGTCTACCAAGTCTATAAGCTTTCTCCTCTTATCATCGACCCATCTCTTTTCTCATGCAACACGCAATCCGCTTGACGTGGTGCCTGAAACAGCAGCAAACAAGGCCACAAAGTCAGCGTTTGCAGAACTTGGCTGACCTTCTTTGCTTAGAAAAGGAGCCCATGAAAACCACTCTCCTCCTTGGTTACTAACTGTTTTTGGAGAGAAATATGAAACTTGTCTTTGCTCCCTCTCTCAAGCAAGGAATGAACATCCAGGAAATTCTGCAGTGACTCCTGGAGTCCAAGCAAGCTTGAGCGGCTGTGGGCTCTAGCCTCCTCTCCTTCAACCAGGAATATCCTATGGAAGGTGGGAGAGACTGAGCAAACTCCTCGGTTATTCACTGCAGCTCAAGTTTGACAAGCACTGATGCCAACGCCCTGCCTTCCTCCACCATGATCCCCCACGGCTCTCTGGTCCATCAGGAACTGAGGAAGTCACCACCAAACAGTGGTCCGCCTAGTTACCGTCCTGCGGCCAACAAGGGCTGGGCAGGGTGAAAAGGGGCAGCCAGAGTCTCACTCAGGCCTCCAGGCCCCAAACCCATACAAAAGCAGGATTTTTCACACTGCCTCTCAGACAGCAAGCAAGAGCTCACATTTTAATTTACCTACCCAGTAGATTAGCAAATTCACATTAATGTGATTCTTATCTAGGAAGAGAGTAAAGCATCCCCGCACCCCCACCCCCGGACTTTGACTCACTTGGAAATAGGCCAAGACTCCATGTTCCTACCGGTTATAGTAAATGTGACCTTGTTCTACTGTCATTGGTACAGTGTTTTTACAAATGCAAAGAAAGCCCTAAAGCAATTCACCACTCACTCTCCCCCTCCGCTCCTCCCTCCCTCATGGGATTCTGCCAATTCCCAAAACCCAAGGCCATCAAGTCAATTCCAACTCACAGTGACCCTACTGGACAGAGTAGTGCAAACCCTGTGAGTTTCTGAGGCTGTAAATCTTTACAGGAGCAGAACATTTCTCCTTTTAACAAAGGACTAACTGGAGCATTCGTCTGCTGACCTCGCCTCAGCAGCCCAACACATAACACACACTCCAAAAACCAAACCCACTACCATCGAGTCAATGCCAACTCAAAAACCCCATAGGACAGCGTAAAACTGCCCCTGTGGATTTCTGAGACTATGACTCCAAGGACAAGCAACTAGGACTGAGACTGAGACCCATCTCTCTCCCTCAGAGCGCCTGGTGGTTTCAAACTTCTGACCTTGCAGTTAAAAACCCACCTTGAAACCACTAGGCTGCCAGGGCTCCTTACCAGTCCTCAATTGCATATTCAGTACAATGAGGGGCCAGGTGACTGTACCTATGAATTAGACTAACTCTACTTTGAGAACGTTGCTCTTAAAAGAAAAAATTGAAAACACGTCTTTGGCACAGATAAATTCACTTTACTCATCAGAAATGGCCAATATGTAGATTGTTAATTTCACCCCAAAATGTATGCATAGCTTTCTCATAACCACCACCATGCAAAGCACTTCAAAAAAAACAAATATCCAGCAGTCTTTTCTGAAAATAACCCCCAGCCCTCAGACAAGAGAAATGGCCAGTCCACATGTAACCTTTTTCTTACCATTTCGAGACACATCAAGTTCCACTAGCTGCATAAAGTTTGCTATTTCTGGAGGGAGCCGTTGAATTTCATTATCACTAAGTCCAAGCTTTCGTAATCTGACGAGTTGGAAAAATTGCTGAAAGACAAAAGGGTATCACATAGGTCTCGCATATATTGGCAATGTCAGCTTTTAAACTTGTAAGAAATTTAACACAGCGCGTCGTTTCAAAATTAACCAAGATTGCACCCACATCACTGTCCTGATGTTTGCATCCTAGCACAGCCATGTGGGAGAGCTGGTGGAGCTGTGGGTTGAGCACTGGGCTGCTACCCCAATGAACACAGCAGCAGCTCCTCCGGAGAAAGACGTGGCTGTCTGCTCACGGAAGACTGACCATCTCAGAGCCCTAAGGAGCCGTTCCACTCAGAATGCCCTGGACAGTTGTGGGTTTGGCTTGGCTTGAACGCATGTGAGATGTTATTATTGAGAGACACGAAGTGCAGAGAATTTCTCTGTGTGAAATGTGCAATGTGAACATTACATATAAACCAGAATTTTTTTTTCAAGGTCAATGACATTATAACGATACTTCTAGATAGCTATTACCATCAGGCCATCAAAAATAAGAAAAACAAGCTAGAAGGTAGATATGCTTCCTTTGCAACTTTATCGATAAAACATTCTTGTCAAATAAGAAAATCTATTAGCATATGATTAAATAAAGAATGCAACATTATGCAAATGGTAAAAACGACGATGCAGCCCATGAAACTTGAAAAGGTATTTAATGCAACCGTAACTAACAAAGAAATTACAGGCACGGTGTGTGAAATAGCATGAGTACATGTGGACAGACAGGAAGAAGGAAAAAAATGTTTTTAAAGTTTTGTTAGATGAGAACAATGCATAATTTTTAATTACTTCTGAAGAAAAAAGACATTTTAAAATAGAGAACTATGCACCTCAGCAAATGAATGCTGCCAATTAGCTGCATATGATAATGAAGAAAGTGCTCAACAAAAGGATTAATCCGCTGGATCCCTTTAATCACACAGTTGAAGCTTAAATTCTTAAGGAAAGGTATTGGAAGTTCTTTATGCTGGCTGTACTAAAGCATTAACTGACAGAAAAGCCATTCAAGAGCATCACATATTTGAATAACTGAGCTTATGCCAATTGTTCAAAGAGTCTGACAGTTTCATAATACATCAATGTGTTTACTCAAGTATGAAAAGCTCACTTTGTTTTCCAGAAAAAGCACAATAAATAGCAAAAGCACCAAAACCAATTCCATGCATCAGGGAGCATTCAGAAATAATATAAGAAGCCAAGTCCATAAGGTGTGGAGACAGAGCCACAGTGAACAGCAACAGGTTCGATTTTTCTGTCTGTGGAAACGAGAGCCTAGAGATCCCCACATCGAGGAGGCATTACACAAGCAAACCAACTTAAGGTCCGGTTCTGCACATGGAAAAGGATCCCCAGGTGGAGTTGTCACAAGTATGACTTGACTCGACGTGGGAAGCGTTCACCAAACGTACCAACAACCCCATCTGTGGTTATTCCAAGTGGAAAACAGTACTCCCTCCTCGCGACTGGACCTGCACATGGTGCCCGGATACTTGACTCCTCAGCCACTTTCTTTTGAGGGACACAATGCCACGGAGACATCATCCATTCTCAGACTCCCGCTTTCTCAGGTAGTCGGGGACAAAACTCAACTAGCCGCGTGCCCATCTGCCTTCCCTTCGTTACCAGCTGGGGCACAGGGAGAACAATTCATTGAGCTGTCCTGGCAGGGTGCCTTGGCACGGACCAACCATGGGGCAGACAGAACACAGAGACACCATTCTCCAACTATTCCCTGTGTGATTACAGCGCACTGGCTCCCTTGAGAGCATGTTTTGTACAACTGTGTACATAAAGAAACCCAAATTGCCACAGCCTCTGATGCCACACCACAGACTTCTTACAGCCACCTCAAATGTTGGCAGTGGAGACAGGCTTTAATTTCACCAAATGAAATGTTTTCCCCATGCTCCATTTTAGTCTGCATTCCGTCTCTCCTGTTCTTTTGCTAAGAATGCTAGTATCTTCCTAGAACGAGAAAGAGAAAACCTCAGTCCTATCACAACTTTCCATTTTTATGACTATGTGGCCCATGGTTAGGAGTTCAGCTGTAATCTGGAAGGTCAGCAGTTTGAAACCACCAGGTGCTCGTCAGGAGAAAGACGAAGCTTGCTACGCCTGTGAACAGTTACCATCGGGGAAACTGGGAGGGGCAGGTCCATCCTGTCCTACAGGGCCACTAGGAGCTGGCATCAGCACATTGGGAGTAGCTTTGTTGATGGCTGAAGATCAGTTAGTTATCCCCCAGTTGCTCAGGCTCCTCCTTGCTCATAGGGTGGAGAAAATATAAACTAAATGCATAAAGAATCTGACACATGCCTGGGAAATGGTTTGACCATGAATTATGACATAGAGAGGGAACCGATTACAAGGAACTATGTGACCTCCTCCCTGGGGGACAGACAACCAAAAAGTGGGTGAAGGGGAGACGTCTGACAGGGCAAGATATGACAAAATACCCATTTATAAACTATCAAGGGCTCATGAGGGAGGGGGAGCGGGGAGGGAGGGGAAAAATGAGGACCTAATGTCGGGGTTTAAGTGGAGAGAAAATGTTTTGAGAATGAAGTACAAATGCACTTTACACAATTGTTGTGTGCATGGATTGCGATAACAGTTGTATGAGCCCCTAATAAAATGTTTAAAAAAAAAACTATGACATGGAACTTGCTCACAGGGTTTCTGGGGGCATTCTCATCCTTCAACTAAAAGCTGATCCCTTTCCATCCTGCTACATGCCTAACTCCTCTTCCCGTCTGGATGGGACCTGGATACCTTTATGGTCTATAACCTGCAAAGACAGACATGGTAAATCAGTGCTTTTAATCTCAGGGTAATATTATTTATATAGTATATATCCATTTGTATCACCTGGCCTTGTTCTTTTTTAGGAAGCTTGCAAAAAATTCTACTGCGATGTATAGACTTTTAAAAAGCAACCAAAATGCCAACAATAAAAAACCTCGTATACTATCAAAATTTAAGAATGTGTTTAAGTTTTCAGTAGTAACTCAAAATGATAAATAACCAAAGCATTGATTACAAATATATCTGATAAAGGTATAGTCTTAGAAAAGGCTACACAATCATGAAAGTGAATGTTTGTTCGGCGAGGGAGAGGGGAGTGGGGAGGGAGGGGAAAATGGGGATCTGATGCCAGGGGCTTAAGTTGAGAGGAAATGTTTTGAGAATGATGAGGGCAATGAATGTACAAATGCGCTTTACACAATTGATGTATGTATGGATTGTGATAAGAGTTGTATGAGCCCCTAATAAAATGATTTTAAAAAATAAAACAACCACACACACAAAAAGTACTGGTTATTTCTAGGTGTGAGAGAAAGGATTATGACCAAGAAGGGTATACAGTGAACTTTTAGAGCCCAGGCAAGATTCCGTTTCTTAACTTGCATGATAAGTACAAGTGTTCTCTTTAAAATTTATCATAAACTAAACATTTATGTTTAATGGACTTTCTGATCTATACAGAGGGCTTCAAAAAGTTTGTGGGGAAATTCCTTCACTTTTCACTTCCATTTTTCCACAAACTTTTTGAAGCCCCTTCATCTGTTGTATTTCAGAATAAAAAAAAGGAAAGAGTTTTTAAGTAACTGCTGTTAAGTGCCACCATCAGTTCTGACTTATAGTGACCCTACGTACGACAGAACAAGCAGGCCCTGTCCTGTGCCGCTGCACAATAGTTCTAACATGTGCGCCCATTGCTGACCTGTCCCGGCGATCCTCTTATTGAAGGTCTTCCTCGTTGTCACTGCCCTCTACTTCTCTAAGCATGATGTCCTTTTCCGGGGACTGGTCTCTCCGATAACATATCTAAAACACGGGAGATGACGTCTCACCATCCTAGCTCTACAGAGCATTCTGGCTGTACTTCTTCCAAGACTGGCCTGTTTGTTCTTTTGGGGAAGTCCACAGTCTTTTCAAGATCCTTAGTCAGTACCATAATTCAAATGCATCAAACCTTAAGTCTCCCTTAGTTAATACACAATTTTAACATGCACATGATGCAACGAAGAATACCATAGCTTGGGTCAGATATACCTTACTCCTCAAAGTAACATCCTTGCTCTTCAGTACTCTAAAGAGGTCTTGTGCAGCACATTTACCTAATGCAATGTGTCGTTTGATCTCGACTGCTGTTCCTATGAGCATTGACTGTGGACCTGTTTAAGTAGTTGAGAATGGCAAAGAAAAATACCAATTAGAATGAAGATCAAATTCTTTACTTCATTCCAGTTAATAGCAATGGAGACAATGGTATTAAATGTGGAAGAGGAGGAAAATGAGGAGCAGTGGTCATATAGACCAGAGCAACAACAGCCACAGTAATGGCATGACTGTGCACAGCAGTAATGCTATGGGAGGATTCTGTGCTTGGCAGTGACCTTCTTTAAAAATCTTAACATTGTCACGATGCTGGTACCTATGTGTATCAGCAGGCCTTTGCCGCATGAAAAATATCCCAAGCTTAGTGGCACAAAACAATGTGGATTGCTCCTTCTTCCTCTCAAGATGATGTGGGTTAACTGGGAGTTACTCTGTGGCTTACACCTGAACTCACTCATGCAACTACATTCAACTTGATCAGTGGCTCTCAATCTTCCTAATGCCGCGACCCTTTAATACGGTTTCTTATGTTGTGGTGACAGCCCCCAACCATAAAATTATTGTCATTGCTACTTCATCATTGTAATTTTGCTAAAGTTATGAATCGGGTGACCCCTGTGAATGGGCCCCTCGACCCCCCAACACCACCCCCCACCAAGGGTCTGCGACCCACAGGTTGAGAACAGCTGAGCTGAATGGCTGAATGAGCTGGAATCTCCATCCTGGCCTCATGAATGTGTGTGGCAGTTGGCATCATGTGTCAGCTGCAGCTCCTTTGGTCTCCACAAGGTCACCTAGCACATGGCTAGAAGGTTATCTAATATGCTTTGCGAGCAGTGTTCAGAAAGGGGGAAAGGTGGAGGCTGCAAGGGCTCTTGGCG